TTTTTTGAATATATATACATATATGTATATATATATATATATATATATATATATCAATATATATACATATATATATTGATATTGGTATTGATATTTGTATGCGTATATTTTCATTAATGGGCTATTTAACACTAAATTTAAATTGTAATGGAAAAAGATCGTGTAGACAGAATGAGAGAAATGACATTTAAAAAATATTAATTCACGAGTGCGGAAAAATGAAAAATATAGTAGTCGATCATAGAAAAGAAAGTGAAATCATGTCATGTGAACTCACATTATAATCTATTTTATCCCACTTGTTTGTCTAATACTTGGACTCTTTGCTTCCTTTTTTTAACCCTAGATAGCAGAGACTTACCAGAAGAAAATTCCGCTATTGCTATTAGTCAGGATTCCTTCTCGTTGTTTCTAATGTTTCGATCACGACAGTTTCTGTCACAAGTATCTCTCCACTTGTGTGTTGGGGTTGTTTCAGCCCCATCGAGGGGTATTATTCAAGGAACAGCCGTTTGGTCCTGTCGGTTGCTGCTGTCACAAGCTGGATATTCTGCACTGACTTCTCAGGCAGGGAAAACTCTTTGCCAAGAATCGTACAATTTGTGTTGCCAAGGAGCTGTTGTGGCGAACTACTGCATTAGCAACTTGCATGAGGGTTGTGTTGTCCATGTTGCATCAAAGCTTATCAACACTCCCATTTATGTTCCTGTTCACGGAACATACTTTGATAAATCAGAACTCCTAGTCTCAGACAAATTTGGGTTTATTACAAAGCTGAAGTCCTTATAGTATTTACACGCACAGATAGTGCTATATAGTTTATCCTTGATTTGACTCTGATAGTATTAATCTGTATTTTATTACACCTATACTTTCACTAATTAATTATCAATTATTGTTACTTCTTCCTCATCTGTGATAACCTTTTTATTTCATGAGGCATGCTATATATTTTAAACATTTATTTTAGTCATGCGGAGTAGATTTTTTCAATTGGGTACTTCCAATGTACTACACTCGTACATTTCTCGGAGAATGGGAATGAAAAGTCGCATAACGGACGCATTAGTTCCTTTCAAGGGTATAGTAAGTGACTTGGACTGCTACTGGGCAGGGTTTATTCAGATGCGCTATCAAAGCACGCCTGCCGATAAACGTTTTCATTGCAGTGTCTGTAAGAAATCCTTTAGACTTGAAAAGGCAGCTGAATTGCATTTACAGCAGGCTCATAACAATGATGGGAGTATTGAAGTCGGTGCAGGTCCAGGTTGTGAATTAAATGCACCACCAAGTCGCACGAATTCCCTTCCTTCTGGTCCTACTGTGATTTCCCAACCGTCAGAAGGATCAACTCAAGGTGAACACCCTCGTTCTCGGCGAAGTCGTCCAATTCCGAAGCCGCTAAATACACCTGATAAGGAGGTTCCATCAGATGTGACCAAGGATATCTTAGATGTATGGGACAATGTTGGCCTGCAGCGTTTAGCCGGTAAGTTTATTCATAGTTCCATGATTATAAAGGTATCCGCAACAACACCGGAGGGAAAATCAGCGTCTCTTCATAACTTTTCTAATCCGAAGGAAGGCACTTCACCTACTCAGCCAAATTTTCAAAGTCATCAAGTTGTGAATGATACTGTCCATAACGTCAATTTTGATGATGCATATGCAATGGCTCCTGCCGAGTCCGCCAGACCTTTTAACGCTATCTTATGCGACAACCCACTCATCGAAACCAGCACTGGATTCCATGAAGCTTTTAAGACCACACACAAGGTGATTGACCCCATGTCAGCGACCTCTGCAACGCCGTCATTCACAGCATTTGGGAAACTGCCAATGTTCGGACAACAACAACAAACGAGTACGGTGAGTAGCACCTTGAACAGAGATCAGCAGTCCGCATTACCTTTATCGGTGGCTTCTCCGTTTGCGAATGCTGCCATAACTGAGTCCCCCTTTTCTGGAAACGTAGCTTCCTCCCCTATGACGCCGGAGGTCTCACCTTTTGTATCACACATACTATCAAGTCCTTTTGCATCAGGATCCCCTCTTGTATCTCGCCAAACGACAATACCATCAGCTATACCTCCCGCCTCAGTGAACAATACAAACAACGGTATGACTGCAGAAGCCGCTAGTCCGTTTTCAATGGGTTCCGCTGGTGAATCAGTCATGTCACCCTTTGCTTCTAACGGGGAGTTGCCTCTCGCATCAATGGTACCACCACCTAACTTTATTAATTCCGATTTTGGTGCGCTGAACAGGGAAACATCTCCGAAACACAAATGTGATTCATGTGGTCGATATTTTTCAACACATGAAGGGCTGCGCATGCATGCCCAAGCGAAACACGGTGTGAATCTTCCACGAATAGAGACGAAAGAGAACAACAAGAAAAAATCTATTGCTGAATTGTCTGCATACATTCCGAGCCCTGTGGATCTTTCCATGACAAGTCCATTTGGCGTTCAAGATCAACCTGAATTCAGTTGGGTTGACACCGAAATTATACCACACGCCGTGGCCGTTTCAAACATTACAGTCAGCGGAAAGGTACTTGAAGTTAATAAAAATGACGATAAGATGTTACAAATAATTGTTTTAGTTTCATCCGAAACACCTGATGAAGGTGATAAAATGACCATTATTTGTTCAAGTGAGATTTCAAAAATATACATCGAAACCATCCAACCGGATGATTATTTGTTCGTGTGCGGGGTATTGCGTCTAACTTCAATATATGAGAATCTCAGCGATAAGTATTACTCCACGCCAGTTATCCATGTAGCGACACCTGCAGGTCTTATAGGCAAAATAAGCTGAAACCATCCTCACACTACTATTGAAGACCTGATTGGGTAGTGATTAAACGAATTTTTTTCACAATATTTATCTATCGACCTTTCATAAGCTGTATTTTGGTATGCTTTAGGCTTTCACCTTAGCTACTATTTTTCTACATATCTGCTTGTTCTGGTTGTCCTCATTTTTCCCTTTAGTATACTTCTTTTCTTTTTACTTACACAGTTGTTGCTGGCTCTACATAACTAAAAGGATTAAAAAGGTAGATAGAGATGGATTCTCTTGTCAATGTACCTGAGGCACTTGAGAAGCTATGTGTATTTTTACAATCTAGTGTCCGATCCGACATTTCTTTGGATACCACACAACTTCTTTTTGCTCCTCAAAAAGAAGCAAAACACCTCAGTGTGGAGGTTGAAGTGGCTTTTCTGTCTTCTCCACCCCCACATCGTGTTCCCCTTTATATATTATTACCCCATAAGGTAATGCGTGGTTCAATCTGCCTCATCACACCGTCGCCTCAGCATAATTTTAAGGATAAGATACTCGCTTTGAGCGAAGATGGTAATGAGATTGCACAAAGTGTAAAACGAGTCATTGACACAGGAAAGCTTCGAACTAAAATTGTAGACCCTGTGTCCGTGCGCGCTTTTGCGAAAGGCTACGATAACTTTGTCGTATACGCTGTTAAGAAATACCCACTCCAGCTTACTGGAGAATTTTTAGGTCATCGGCGGCTCCCTGTGTGGGTGAGCAAGAAGGGACCTTTTGTAACCTCACTTTCAAATGCGACGAGGACTGCAGTTGTGTCGCGCCGTGGAAACAATTCTGTGACTTGCTGTATCGGACACACTGGCTTATCGGTTGGGCAGATTGATGAAAACATCAGGACATTTGTGGAAAAGCTTACTAAACATCCTCAGGGTGTAGCGTTAAAAGATGTTTTGCATATTCGTGTGGCTGCAACAAACGCGAAGGGTGTTCGGGCAGGATTCCCCATTTTTGGACAAACTTTCACATTTCCCTCTGATAGAACGACAAAGGGTAAAAGGCCTCGTGAAGCGACATCAATGGATCTAAATACAACACAATGTCCATCATAAGTATTTTTAAGCATAACTTTAAAGAAAGTGATTATGCCTTATATTTCTAGTACTGACGGTTAAAATATTAACAATGACAGAATAATCTCACCCTTTCATAAATAATCTTTACTGTTGCCTTTGTCACTTGTGTGTTTAACATTTTGATTTACCCGAGAATATCTCCCTTTTTCCTTGCATTACTAAATTACGATTTCACTTCTTAGTTTATTTTCTCTTGTTTCTCTTTCTTTCCTTTTTATTGTTCATTGGGGAGCGGAAGATCAAGTAGCTAAGTTGCTCAAGTAAATTATTAAAAAAAATTGTGTTCTGAACTTCAATTATTCTACCCGTTATCAAGATGTCTTTTATGAAAGTAGGTCCGCAGACTATGCTCAAGGAGGGATCAACCATGGTTGATGAACCAGTCCTAAAAAACATTCAGGCCTGTCGAGAGCTGTCAAAGATTACCCAAAGCTCTTTGGGTCCATATGGGCTTTGTAAAATGGTAATTAACAATCTTAACAAGTTGTTCGTTACACACGACGCAGCAACTATCCTCCGTGAGGTGGAGGTTGAGCACCCTGCGGCTAAGCTGTTGGTACAGGTATCTAACGCAATGCAGGAAGAAGTTGGTGACGGCACTAATTTTGTGGTGACTCTTACTGGTGAGTTTCTTTCGCAGGCCGAGTCACTTCTGCGAATGGGTCTTCATCCCAGTGAAATCATTGAGGGCTATAAAAAAGCGGGAAAAAAATGTTTGGAGCTTCTCGAAACCATGACCGCACGTACTGTAAATGATTGCCTTACAAAGGAAAATGTTACAGATGCCATTCGTACTGCCATAGCTTCTAAACAGTATGGCTATGAGTCTTTTCTAGCGGATCTTGTCGTGGAAGCATGTATTAACGCGTGCCCGTCTAATGTGAAGGCTTTCAATACAGACTTTGTTCGTGTTGTAAAACTGGATGGCGAATCTGTGTTATCCTCGAATTTCGTGCGCGGCTATGTGATTGGACGTGACTCCGAAAGTACTGTAAAACACATTACCAATGGAAAGGTTGCCGTGTACAGCTGTGCCGTGGATATCCCATCTTTGGAAACCAAGGGTACTGCTCTCATTGAAAATGCCGAGGACCTTCTTCAATATTCCCGAAAGGAGGAGGATGTTATGGAGGAGATTATAATGAATATTCACAGAGCTGGTGCAAATGTAATTGTATCTAATTCTACTTTTGGCGATCTGGCCCTTCATTTTATTAACCGACTCGGAATTATGGCTGTGCGCGTGCCCTCAAAGTTTGAGATTCGCCGACTGTGTGCCGCTGTTGGTGCACGTATAATGAATCGTATGGATGCGCCGACGCTGGAAGATTTGGGTTCGTGCAATCATATTGACGTAATGAATATGGGTGGGAAGAATATCACCACCTTTTCTCAAGATTCTGATGACTCAAAATTGTCCACGATTGTGGTGCGAGGTGCCACACAGAATGCCCTTGACGATGTGGAGCGTGCCATTGATGACGGCGTTAATGTTTTTAAGGCATTAACAAGGGATAATCGCCTTGTCTCGGGCGCGGGCGCGCTAGAAATGGAGCTTCAGAAAGAATTAACCAAATTTGCTGAAGCGAATCCGGGGTTGGATCAGTATGCTTTACGCAAGTATGCAACAAGCTTCGAAGTGGTAGCTCGCACTCTCGCGGAAGTAAGTGGTTATAATGGGACGAATATGGTGACTCAGTTGGAAGCGGAACACAATGCAGGGAAAAAGCATCAGGGTGTGAATGTTGAAGATGGATCTACACATGATGCTTTAGAGTCTGGAGTTGTGGAGCCGTATCTAACGAAATTCTGGGCTATTAGGCTTGCTACCGATACGGCAGTGACAGTACTATCGGTAAACCAAATTATTGTTGCCAGGCAAGCAGGGGGGCCTAAGAACCGCCCAGACCAGGCTCGCGACGAAGATTAGATACCAATGAAAGAAATAAGAAAAGTAATTGAAAATTATCGTGTTTGTGTGAAAGCGACTCCAAATTTTTACCTATCAAATTATGGAGGACTATGGATATTTAAAAATGATCTTACATCATATTTTTAGACTAATAATATTTGAAAAGCTTAATTGATGAATCTGAACCTGAGATTTAGTTCAGTATCCAACGATATTGAGGGATACAATGCACAGCTTCTCCACCTTGAGGATCTTTTTACTCTTCTTTATCGTTTGAACCGATTTTCCTTCATCTCTTTTCTTCCTTCTATCGCCCTAATTTTCAATTATTTTTTAGAAGCAGATGACTCTTTTCTATGAGAAAGGGATGTGTCTTGCTGAATAGATCTTTATGAATAGTCACCTAGAAAATCATCTACTTTGAGCATGTCTCGCATCATGATTTAATTGCTGCTAACCTGACCAAAATCAATATGGCTTATGTGAAGATTTTGAATTTTATCATCGATTGAATCGATCTGAGCTCGTAAAAGCTGATTAACAAGAGTTTTAGGGAAGAACAGATTGATAAAATATTACTTGGTCCTGATATTAAAGATCAGGTGCAATTGGTAACGCAACAACTACTCTATTTTGTGAGGATTTTTGTTAGGCATATTGTAAATTATACAAGTTGAGAATATAGATTGTGTGTCCTGAATATTCGCGGTAGCTGAAATGGTTAAAAAGCTGTCGGGTAGCTGGGATTTGGACAAACATGAAAATCTTTGACAGGGCGCATTTCTGTTTTCAATTACCTAATGTCACAGTTAAGAAGGTGCACCCTTGAAATCGGTCCTTGGAAACTGGAATGTATTGCAGCCTACTGAGATACATTAGCTGATACTTTCGGCTTTGATTTAGAACTATTTAAAACACAGAAGCCTATCACCTTTTTAAGGATTCTTGTATAATATTCTTCTATTATTATCTTTTATTGCTTAGTTATACCCTAGTGTGCCTTAGCAGATGAAATTATACTCCTCCAGTTTTTCTTTTTTGTGTGTTGTCTGTTTTTTACTTTAAACTCACATCCGTGGTCGATGTCATGTACAAATTATTCTATATCTAGTCTTTTATTTACCCTTTGATTTAAAATAGATATTATAAGCATAGATTTTTCTTTATTAAAACAGAAAAATAACACTCCCTTTATAAATATATTAATTTTTTCTTCAGGGGGGGAGGGGAATTAGGTGTTAAGCCACGCACAGTGTTGGATATTTCTGTAAATGAACGATACACTCCAGAGTTCACGTGAAGTGCGTGCAACTATAGAGAATTCTATCGTTGCTGAAATAGGTGTGTGCACCGCTGGACGGTGCCCGAACCCAAGCAGCTCTGGGCATGTGTACTCCCATCTTTCAGCGTTAATGACACGCGATAGTACAAGGTGCATTCCAGATGTTATCCCTGTGGGTGATTTGGTATGGCCGTCACCATTACTTTCGATGTGGAAAAAGATGTGTTACAGCTCCTTTGCTGGCATATTTCCTTTTATCTCTTGTGTGTGGCTAGCTGTGGATAACCGCCTCATTCTTTGGAACTATCGCAGTGAAAGAGAGCTTTGTCAATATGAAGAGATTCCAGAGCTCATTGTTGCCGTAGGAAATCCTGTCCGACCGCAAAAGGACATTTTTCAACTCCATATTACCTATGTGCTCCCTGTGGCTACTTCTGAAGTTGTTTATTTACTTGGTGTGTGTATAGGAAATGAGGCAGAATTGTCTGAAGTAAGGCTAATTAATCTGGGGTACAGTGTGATGGCACCTTCTTTGTTAACAAAAATTATTGGGATAGAAGAAAATGGAAGAATTTTTTGTGCTGGATCAGATGGGAATTTGTACGAGCTGCGATATGTTCGTGAAAGCACATCATTCATCCCAAGAATACGAATGGTATGTTTTTCCTTTTTCCTTTCAAAATGGCCCGTACTAGGACAGATTACGTCGCTGATAGGCACAATGAAGCAAACGTGGACCGGGCCCAACGCAGGGTTATGCGACATTATCGTCGACAAGCGTCATGACTTGCTGTTTAGTCTGGACGAACGAAGCGCTATAAGCGTCTGGCGCATCTTGCCGAACGATCTTAAATTTCTAAAATCGCTTACTCACCAACCAAGCAGTTATCTTCCATCTAATATTTCCCACATTCAGTCGTTCTCACCACTATGTAAATTGTTCGTAATCGATCCGGATCACGATGGTTGCACGCTCACCGCTATTGCTGTTTCCGGGGAACAGTTTCGTTATCACTATACAGACCATTATGCGGGAAATCAAAGCGTGGACTTTATGTTACGGGGATATGTCCCTTCGCACTGTAAAGCTTCACGCGAAGTAGGGGTCTGCTACGCCAGCGGTTCCGTTGTTATTCTAGCAAACTCTTCAGAGAATTCAGCGGATGAGCTCGTTGTAATTTCTTCTCCAAAAGCCATCATGGAGCCGCATAGCAAGTTTCGAAACATTGTAACAACCTTCGACTCGTCTGAATCTCGAATCATACGTGTAGATGCCATTGAGATGATATTCCCGGTGGAGGCCTGCATGAGTCCTAATGATCTCTGTGCCCAGGTGAATCACCCCCCTCCAATTTTTGCGGTCGTGCATCGACACGGGCTCTCCTTCTTTCTACAAATGCGTCCGGTTGACTCTCTTTACACAATCATGAGCATGTCCGATGTGAAAAATCGTGAGGGACTCTTACAACGTTTTGCGTCGATTTACAACGTCGTGGACTACACTGCAATGCTACTTCAAATAGTGATTAACGCAGTTAATATTAGCCACTTTATTTGCCGGCCTTTCACATCAGACAGCTTTAACAAACTTTCGGCAAGCACTATTGGCACATCAACCCAAGCTGGAGGACTCACATTTGACCATTTAGGTACAATTCTATTGAACTGTAATTCCTCCACACCTAAACACCTCGCACGGGAGCTATTACGAAGTGCAGTCCTTCCGTCTACACAAAGTAATCTACCTGATGCTTCGGGGACTAGACAGATAGTTATCGTTCTTTCACTTTACTCAAGTGCTGTGGTCGCCTATATAGCACGTGCACTTTACGACGTCTGGGATGTTCTCCTCCACAAATTGTCGCAAGAAAATTTGAAAACAATTGAAACAGTTTTTTCCCTTTTAGTTCGTTTTCTTGAAAGTACTGATTTGGCGACCTACAGTGAAGAAGGTCTTCGAATCGATATCCCTCATCGATGGGAACTCAACAAAGTTGTGGTGTCGCTACCAGCTGGCACTAATCTTTCCCCTTATGTTGTTAATAAGTTTCAAATGATTATGTTATTTCAGGCCTACCAAATCGCTCGAAAAACCCTACAAACTGCTCTGCTTTTACATCAAACACGCTTCCTTTCACTTCGTTCTGAAGACCGTTTCTTAACTTTTGGCCAAGTTGTTCGTGACGAAATGGTCGCCAGGCGACTGGGCCAGTACTACACCCAATTGATTCTGTCTTCACAACAGGGCATTGGGTCTGCCGTAAGCCAGCAAGTACACTCATTTGTTGATCTTCAAAAACGATGCCCGTACTTCTTCGATAGCATTGAAACGCAGGAGTTAAAGGTACAGTCGGAAATTGCGATGCTTACCCGCGGCGGCAGTCTCGACACGCTAACGGTCTCGCAGTTAGACCAATGGATGACCTCGGTTGCTCCGCGTGCGGGTTCTTACTGGTTGTCTGGTGCACTCCAGACGATTTGTCAGCAGCTCAAAGATCTCAAACGGGAAGATCTTGCCGTACAACTCTTGCTTCACGCGGCGAGGCAGTTGGACCCAAGAAGCGCCTCACTACCACTTTATCTTGCTGAGCGAAGCGGACGCCTAGTGCAGGAAAATGTCAGTACACCACTTTACGCCCTTTACCAAAACAAGTACCGTACGCTACAACTGGTAGCTTCGGTTTTGGAGTCATCTTGGTTGAGTCATCGTAGTGTCATTGATATCCTTCTCGGTAGTCCACATAAATCTGGAGCAATATGGGAAGTTGAGCCTAGTGATGAGTTTGCGCACTACTATTTGCTTGATTGGATGCGTGCACCACGGGATGATACGATTCTCACACAAGCTCTTCGAGATACCCTTGTAGCGGCGCGCTCCCCATTTCTCGAAAAATATCTTACCCAAAATTCAGCACTTCTGGGTGAGGAATACGCACACTATCTGCACCGCATGAAACACGACTATAAGGCTGCCATTGAGCACAGCGTGGTACTTGCGCAGTCTCCACTTCTTCAGATTCCTCGTGCCGATCGCCTATCTTACCGGATGCGTTGCCTGAACAAGGCACGAGAATGTGCTTGTGAATGCGGTTCGGGGCAAATTCAACAAATTGAGCAACTCCTTTCGCTCTTAGAGGCCCAACAGCGACTCCTAAAAATAGTCACCGATTACATTGGCTCGGGTCAGATGCATCTAGACAAAACTTGGCAGGTAGGCGGTCGCATGGTGACTGAACGGGATCTGGTCTTGAAACATGCAGAACAGCTCTCTGAGAGTGTCTGCTCTGTGAGTGAGATTCTTGAAATCGGTGGGATGTACACGTCTTACGGAGGTGCGGAGGTGCAACTTGATGTACTTGTAAGCTCAAATGTTAGTGACTCATGTGTATTTGCAATGTGTATCCTGCGAGCCTATCAATTCCATGATGATAATATGGAGGACCTTACACAACGTCTTATTGAACGTTATTATAAGAAGAACGTTATATTCCCAATACCAACTGTGATTCAAGTGCTAGAGGCGTGCTATTATGTCAAATTCCCACAAGGCTGTCTTTCGGCGGCTAAATTACTATTAGAGCTTGGTGTCGATATCAAGGTTCTTTTTTATTCATACCAAGATTTAATCGAAGAACGGTATCAAGACGCGGCCATGTGTGAGGCATTCACTCGGGCTGGTGTTACAAGCGCGTATCTTGTCCACTCGTTAGCCTTTGTTCTTTATGAAATGGCTAGGGCAGCGCGACGAGGTACCCTTCGATTTACAGTAGTAGCTCAGGCAATGCGAGTGGTGCAGGATTATATATCCTTATGCTCTAGCAGCCAAGCAATTGAGAATACTGAACGCCAAGCTTTGAGTGAAGCCGAAAATTATCTTCGTCTCTCAGACAACATTATTAATGCCGGCTAAAGTTAAGGATAGCTGCTCACTAGAAGTCCAGGCTTATTCTAAAGGGTCAAGCTCCTTTTCAAGTGATCCATTCTTTATAATATTTATAAAGTTTCGAAAGATTTGATGCATTGGCCTAGATTTTTGGAAGGGTATGTATCTGAGCATGATAAAAATATTTAAATATCTGGTGTTTTTCTACTCCTTAAAAAAACACTCTACAAGGTAAATAACAAAAGGGAAGTTATCTTCCTACTCTGCCATCTGTGGGTAGTATATCCTTTTTTTTTGATATACCTGACTCGATGGCCTTTTAACTTTCATGTGCAGCATGTAATACACCACAATGGAGTAAATTAAGCTTAGTATGATTCTTTAATGATAACGTTTTTTTATGATCACGTCTGAATATACTAACACTTTTTTCTTGGATTTTCAGAAACCTATTTAAAATCATTAAGTTATAGATTAATATAATGAACACGCTTTAAATCAAAGCTATGAAACGATTTGAAAATGGCAAAGGATTAAATGTCAATAGGGGACCATTTTGGAGGCAGTTGGTCTGGAAGTGTTTGCGGCTTTTTTTAGTAGCTAGTGATGTCAATAGCGCTCACCAACGTGAAGTAGACGGAGATGTAAATTTTGCCCAGTTTTACTTCTATCCGAACCAGTGGCCTCAAAGCAATGAGGATGCTATTTTGCTTTCTGATAATATTTTTCAGGATTATTTAAATGCTTGGTTTCAGTGGGTTGTTCTTAAACTCGTTCAAACTTCTTTTATTATCTATGTAATTTCGATATTTTTGGGCTGACTTTGGTTCTCACCTTGTAGTGGGGGTGAACCCGATTCATGAATTGTATGAAATTGAACAAACAGAAGGGAAGCTACTAATGTGTATCTCAAAATAAAAGTATTGATTTATTTGCTTAACTTAATTAATGAGTGTGTTGTTTCCTTTTCCTTCATTTTATGTGGAACAGAAAAGATTTTCATTGACGATCTTCCAAGACTTTCATTGGTTTATAATAGTAATAGAGAGAGAGAGAGTCCCTGAAGTTCGATTAAGAATGAAATGAAGGATAAAGAGAGTGCAATGATTCAACTGCGTGCACGAATAAAGAGAAAACGAACCGAGGCTCATGAGTATCTTAACTGTCAGTTTTATGACCGATGCCACGATGTATTACTGCTCATTGAAAAAATAGATTCCAACGAGTACTTCAAGCAGAACCCATCGTCCCTACCGCAATACTCTCTTTATGTTAAAGTTCCCATGTATTGGGAGTCCATCCGAAAGAAGCTTAAGAGCTATAATTATACAATGGTGTCTGAATTCATAGAGGATATGCGTCTAGTGATTAACAACGGTTATGCTTACAACGGTTTAACATCGGATGTTTCCCCGATTTGCAGGGATATAGAGCTGGTTATGGAAGATTTATTCATCAAAGAGTTAAATGCTGAACCACCGAATATTAGTGAACTTAGGAGAATGGGCACCAAGCTGGACTCTGACATTTCAAAGGAAATATGGAAAACCATATGCTTTTATGAGAAAAAGGATGAAAAGGTGGCGGGAACTAGGGCATCGATTTCGTTGGCACAGTGTCGAACTGCCACCCTTCGGAGAATATGGGAAATCATGAAGTTTGCAGGTAATCGAAAAAAGCAGAAACCAATGATACGAGAAAATGGGCCCAAACGATCATCATCTGTAACTACAAAAGAGTCGATGCAGTTGCAGCAACCCGCTTCGAAAAAAGTTTCGGCTTCCCCACAAACACATGAAAACGACAAAATCCTCAAGGATGATAGTCCTACTCCAACGCTAGAGCGAGTTCCTCAGAATGCCCGTTCAGACAACTTCACAGTTCGTGAAATCAGCCTTATAAGGATGGAAGATGACGGCATATCTAGTAATGAGAATGATATGGAAGAATCACCTACTTTTGAACCAGAATAATGAAAAAGCGGATGAATCAATGCATATCTACCTTCTTTATATATATATATATATATTACTCGTTGGTAGGTGCTCTATATCGTTATGTGCTGTGTGAGAAAAGCAACATACCTCCCTCCAGCGTCAAGGGTGAGTTGAAGGAAAGGGTTTATCTATCAGCTTATTATCCTTATCTTTCCCTTTTTCCTTTAATGAAGCTCTAGTGGGCGTCGGGCAATGTCAAGAGATGATTATAGTATCTTAATCTGTGCACGCAATGCGTAGATAATTATATCTGAGCTTGGATCTTATCGTTAGAAGCCAACGACCTTATCAGTGAATACCTGAAAGAGCCTCAAAGCTGATGATGTAAGGTACTTTCCTTTCGCCTTGTTTACCACATTCTTATGCTTTGGTAATGTATGATACTAGCTGGAGCTTTTATTCTTGATATTGGAGCGCACCATGATAATATGTATTCTTTGGCTCTTGCATTTGTACTATTTTTAGTTGCGACCTTGTTCTTCATAATACATATCATCAAGCAGATTGGATTGAAAGTATACCATGGAAGTTGCTGAGGCGATGTTTTCGATCCCAAAGCCAATTTTTGTTTCGCAGCCCCAGCCGCCGGTACTGCCATCTTCGGGAATACTCGAACAACCTATGTCTACCCCCTTCATTAGGCCGACCTCATTTCAGTCGGCGCAACTTTCGGTACCGAAAATTGAAGCCCCGTCTCTATCAACCCCTGCCGCGATACCGGTGCCGGTTCTGTCGCCTGCCGCCCTCACTTCCACCCCAATCCCACTTCCTTCTCCCACCACGGCCCCACCAAACGACATTCCGTTATTCCCTCCTACGGACCTGAGCTCGATGCCAAGGCCCAAGTCCGAGGCGGAAGCCATTCCAGGGACCTCTGGCCATGCCGTGTTACCTGTGTTAGCGCCAACCTTGCCGACGATCAGTCGTCTTCCTCTGTTTAGCGCGGAACGGCCTGAGACTTCGCCGCTCCAGGGAATGGCCATCCATGCGCGTGAACAAGCTGGGGACACCGTGCAGGGGGATCAAGCCAAAGGGCCTGCCACCATGGCGAGCGGTGGGCCAAATTACGGCGGGCGAGTGGGTCCGATCTGCCCTGGCTACGTCATGTTTGGTGGCGCCCAGTATCTCAGCTTCTTTCCATTTTCTGCATGTAGTCGTAAGGGAATGAATAGATTGAATCCAAAGTTGGAATCGAGTCGCGAAAATACCAATTACCTCGCGGAGTTGAAACGCATTCAATTCATGTCCGATCAGTTAAAGGTGGCGCGGCGTTTCCTACGGTTAAAGGGTGCTGAAGGGAAGGCTATCAGGAGGACCGATCAAGTCACTGTTGCGCCTCCACAAGACGATATCCAAGACACTTTGCCTTATGAAAGCGAGATTGCTTTGACACCCATAGATCTTGAGAAGGGAACGATTTGGACACTGGCGTGGGCCGGAACCCCTTTACAACTCCAGGACGCCCTTAGGAAGCAGGATCCCGAAAGCAACACCCTTGACGCACTTGGTTACGTGACTCTGGGTAGACATCAATGGGGGCTGAAGCGAAACAAAGATGAGTATGTCTTGGGTCTGGGGATGAAGGCAACAGCTTTGCAGTTTGCAGTGGTTTCCGGGAGACTAGATAACGTCATTCTGCTTCTCTTTAATGGTGCGGCTGACTGTTTTGTGCCGCATCTGTTTGACATTTTGCCAAAGCGAGTTTATAATCTACTCAAAAATGCCTTGAAAAAGCACTCCATTAAGAAGAAGCCTCCAGCCCCACTACAAGTCTCTAGCATTCCTTTGCAGAACAATTTTTCAGAAAATACCTAGCCTGGCCATTTTCCTGTTAGTACAGAATGAATTTGTCTGTTATAGAACCAATGGACTTTTTTATTTTAGGCTTTGAGTTCCTTTGATGCAAAGAGTATGTACTGACTCAAAAAAAAGATGGGCTAGTATGTTGCATTCTTTTTTTTGAATGTAACAATGTAGAACAAAAAAACATTTATAGATGAAAATCCAAGGGCAGATCAATCTATTGCTTCTTCTTTTTTCCTTTGAGTGTATGAAGTCACCATTTATGGTATCTATGTTGCCTCTAGCTTCTCTTTCTGCCAAGACTTAAAGTAGGTAAATTCACGAATTGGAAAGTCATACACATACACACAAAGATGGAGGTCATCCGTGAAACGATGGTTTTAGAAAACAGCGGAGTGAACGTACAAATACCCGGTAAAGGTATGCGCAAGCTTTTATCTATTAATTCCATCAGTGTACCACGCATTTTAGACCTTTTAAAAGAACTATCCCCTGATAGTTCGAGTTCTTCGTTGGGTACTCTCCTTCCAAATGTCATGGCAATGACCGAGGCTCCTTTAGGTGATATGGCAGATATAGATTACGAAAGTGAGGATGGCACAGAAAAAACAATCTCACTTACCAACAAAGAAACAGACAAAAACCATGAGACGCTTTTGAATGCTTTGAAAAAGAACTTTGAAGGAATTATTGCACTTGGTAAGGTTGCAGGTCTGACAGAAAATGAAATGAGCGTTTTATTTACTGTGTCTTTGCAAGAACACAAGGAGTTCAAACATCAAAACGGAATGGAGATGCATGAGTCTATGGAAGAAATGTTAGGAAATGCCAACATCCACGATTCTGAAAATTGGAACAAATGTCAACATCAGTAGAAGAAAGTAGAATTGATTTTCTCTAAGAGGAAATAATTGATTTTAGGATGATTCGTTTTAATAATAATTTACTATTGTTGCTTTTTTACTACTCTAGCAAAGACTGGACTTAATCAAAGTCAGTTCTGTTATACAGTTTTCTATGAAGTGCAATGCAATCCCTAAAATATTTCTTATAATTCTACTGAATTGATAATATAATAATGAAGCGTTTCCACAGTGAAAATATCAAAATATTTTCACTATAATTTTTATTGCTATTGGTGCTTTCAATGATAATCAAACCTTCTCATTGATTCATTATTTTTGTCGTAGGGCATAACCTCGTGATGCAGAGACTACTTGAGCAATGTTGGTATCACAAGGAACATGTAGCCTCATCTCCCATAAGCGCTGAAACCGTTTTGCTGTCGACCCACCTCGGCCTGAGGGCCTTACAGGCCTACGTGGACCGAGGTCGCGCCAGGCTCATTGATACGGGGGAATTCACGTCGGTATCAGTTAAGGAGGGTAGCCAAAGTGATGTCCAAGGACTCCCCTGCGGGGCTCGCACCTTGCTAATCGAAAAGGAATCAGGAGAAATCGTAGTAAGAGGGGTTAACAAATTTCGTGACATCGAAGAAGTAGGAGACGAGTGGGTAGTAGACGAGATGCTATGGAGCGGATGCGTTGTGTGGGCCCAACGCAAGCTTGCTGGGTTTGTCGTAACCTTGTTTTCGCTAGACGGAGAAACGCTGGGATGCATGTCCAAACACGTTGTAGAGGGGCCACACGTTGAGCTGTCAAGAAGCCTTTTGGATGAAGTGCTGACAAAAGAACAACAGTGCCGACTTGCCGAAAAGCTCTTCAGACTAGAGGCTTCTGCCACGTTTGAATGCGTCGATATTCAAAGTGATTATCATCATCCGGTACTGGAGCATCCATGTTTTAACAGACGATTGGTCCTTTTGTCAGTTCAAAAAAGAAGTACTCTCGCTGAGCTTACGCTTTGCTTCACCCAAACCCAGCAACTTGCAAAAGAATTTGGGATGTTGTGTGTTCCTGGGGTCGTTTTGCTTGATGTTGAGGCTGTCAGAGATGCCATTCGATGCGTGACCCCATGGTATGCTATGTACCCAGCACTAAAGGAATGCTCTATTCTTGCTGAAGGCATTGTCTTATTAATTGAGATCCCTCAACATCGGCTTACTGATCACCACCACAAATGGTTTGTACCTGTGCGCCTGAAGATAAAAACCACGAGATATATCGTGCTCCGCTCCTTACGCTCTCTTCTTCGAGGTGACTCACAACCCCGATTGGTTTTATATCACCTCTCTATGGTAAAATGGGCTCGTTTACATGGCGTGGACCTTAAAAGGGAGGAGCAGACAGAGGGCGTTTACACTCTCAGTGAAAAATTCGAACGCAGCATACGTTCGATGCAAAAGGTGCGCCATCGTGATTCTGAGTTAACTGTTGACGTTGCATTTAAGCAAATGTTGTTGCATACCGAAAAAGAAGTGCAAGCCCGACGTCATTTCATCCCCTTGACCGTGGCTCTTTTTTGTGGGCTACCTGGATCCGGCAAGTCCTGCCTCTGCCAGAAAGTTGTTGAACGTTTGATGTCGAATTCATCGGTTTTCTCGTATGGTCTTTGTCTGAGTCGTGATGAGGTAACCCAATTTCTACGTGAACAGCACCAAATCGGTCGTGATTCCACCAAACATAAACAACGCCGTTTACAAGGCTTAATCCACAGAGAGTTATTATCACGAATCGAGCAACTGAATAAATATTGCGCTTATTCTGGACGTGATCGTCGCGGAATTTTGCTGTTTGATGCATGCAATGCTACACCCGATGCCCGTCGTGCTTGGCGACGCTGCTTTCCATGCAGTTTGCATGGTGCTTTTTTAGTCTTTGTGGAGTGTAAGGACCAGGATACCCTTGCCATGCGTCTCTCCCAACGTAGGGAGCACACCACTCTCATGAACGCTGAAGAGGCCCAAAGTGCACTTTATGTAATCAAGAAAAAGTTTATACCACCCAGCTCCGACGAGGGTCTTGGTAAGGTTATTCGTTGCAACACATCATCCACATCCGTGGATCTTCTGGCCGACTCCCTTGTTGAGATGTTTTCGGAAAGTTCAGAGGCGACTTCCCTTTTTAGTCCTCTTCAGACATCCCGTGAGAGAATGCAGAAAACTGAGTGGATGAATTTTGATGAGCTAACTGTGTCAGTTAAGCTTGATGAACACACATTTCTTCGCGGTCTTTTTGGACTCACAGAGTCTGATTCATTTAAATCAGACTCTTTGATCTCTCTTTCCCAACATAAGTTGTTGAAGAACGCCTTCAAGAAAAGAACCTTAATTGTCCTTAAACTTGACATGAATGTCGAAAAATTGCAAAATGCAGTAGTGAGTGTATTAATGAGTCTTCTGAGTGCGAACCTGTCAACGCAAAATGCTGTCGTGAGCGAATCCGCACCATCATCGACCCCATGGTGGCGTCGGTGGTTAAGGGAGATCATTATTAAGGAAAGAAGGCCTTCATGCACCATAGGGTCGGATACCACCGTTGAAGCTGGGCAAGTCAAATGGATCAAGGGCTGGTTGCTGCAAGGGAAGGTGGAGGCGACTGTATTCCCTGAAATCCTCAGCAAAGCTCTTGCGGAGCGATTTGAAAAAAAAACGGCTTACACCCACGTCACTCTTTTGTATAGCGCGGACGGCGTATCCGGAGTGGCTGATTTCTGGAGGCTCTCCGGGTTTCGTTTAGGCCAGAAGCTAAAAGTTGAACTAAGCGAACTTCTTATGGATCGTCTTGCCGTTTGCTTCACCGCCACACTTCCAGGTGGACGGACCTCTCAATGGCCAATCGACAATAGCGTCGACTCAAAGGATCATTCTCTGGTTAATTACCTGCACGCGACGGTTTGCACAGCCGTCGGCGTGAATGAAAAATATTCTGGGGAGATGTTACACCATTTTAAGGAATGGCAGCAGAACGATGAGGATCTCGAGGTATGTCGTGTCGCAAAGTGCGCAAAACGAAGTCGACAAAAGTATCATAACTTTGTGAAGCTGTGCTTGACTACACCAATCGTGTGCTCAGGGACCGTTATGGAGCTTTCCCAGCAATTTCCTAAGGAGCTTGTATGAGGAAGAGCTAAATTATTCAACCACACTCATTAGATTTTGCTAGGCACAAGTCTATGAAGTTATTTTGTTGTTATTTCATTCCCCCATCTTTATTCTCCTTTATGCATCATCATTTCTTTATTATTCTTATAGTTATATAAATGTAGGAAGCGTGAATTTAGGTATTAATACTAGGAACATACCGAGAATAATCCACAAGTACACATAAGCAAGCATAGTTGAAAATGTCAGACACTATAACAGTAGCACAGAAAACTCAACGGGCAAGAGATGCTTACATGCAGCTCTTCTCGGATACTTTTGCAGACGAACTTGTGGAAATATACGAGCAAGATGGTAGCACCGATGCGATGCAGCACCTCAAGGATTGCATTGAGTGCGGTGTCTCAGTATGGGGTTTTCCATTGGTACTCCCTAATCCGCTCGAGAACTAATAATTGTTGTAGATAATGTAAACTAATAATAGTTTACATTGTATGCCCTACGTGCGGATAAGCGATTAATTGTCAAAAAGTGCATTCTGAAATGTGTTCTTGATCCACAAACCCTGATGCTTCTTGTGTATCCCAGCTGCATTATATCTCTAAGCAAGTTGGTTTGTTTACCTTTTTCTTCTATTTTGTAGTGAAAATGCACGGCTAAGTGTGATACTTAAAGTTTTACATTGACGCTGTATCCTGAATTGCATTCTTTCCTTTAGATTATATTTAATTGCTATCAATAAAAATTAGCCTTCCATAGTACTCCAAAGGTCATACTGCCAATGCAGAGTTGGAGCCGTTTTCCTCTATTGAGTCGAATGGTTACGCAATACGTCCCAAAACGTTCCTATGCCACTCGTTCTCCACTTTTGCGGAAGGATTCTTTCATGAAGCCCATACCATCCACCGCGCCACTTGTCACTTCTAAGCCCGTTGCACTATCATCTGCGCTTTTGGCAGCTGATGAGCTCGATAAAATTATCCGCCTAATTGAAAATGATCCTCGAATTCTGATTGATGTCGTGGCCAACTTGGAACCTGAGAACCGTCGCCGCCTAATTGTGACCGGTGGAGCAATGGAGTGGTTTGGCAAAGATAGCGCCGCGTCTGAGCTTGAAAAAGCCGATACGGACAAGGACCGTCTAATATCCCCCAAAGACTTTGACAATTGGTTTGAAAGTGCCCTAAAGCGAAATCAAGAGAGAAAAAAACGTTCAGAGTCATCGACAACGGCTGTGTACAACGACACTACATCAACACCAGCCTCTGGATCGTTTGAAATTTCTCCCCTGAAAGGAATAACCGTGGAAAACTCGGAGCTTTCTTTTAAGGTTCTATCACTGATAGCCATTGTGACTGGCTTGCCTTTTGTTGGGTTTGGATTTCTAGATAATGTAGTAATGATACTGGCCGGAGACTTCATTGATGGCACGCTTGGCTTTTATCTTAACTGCTCTGTGATGGCCTCAGCGGCGATGGGAAATGTGTGCTCAGGCATGCTGAGTATGCAAGTCCACGGTCTTATTGAGAAGGCGGTGCAGTGTTTTAACTTCAAGACGCCGTTGTTAACCGAAATACAAATGAAGGATCGGCGTGTGTTTCTTGCAGGACACATCGGCGGCACTCTGGGCATTCTGATTGGGCTTTCCCTAGGCATGCTTCCGCTCCTTTTCCTGGACATGGACACCACGGAAAAGGCTGATTATGCCACGTTTCAACGTTTGGATAAGAATAAACGCGGATTTCTTGAGGCTTCTGAAATTGAGAATATGCTTTCTGAATTGAATTTAGCAGAAACCGATAAGAAGGCGAAAAAACTCATTGAAAAATATGGTAAAGATACTAAAATGGATTTTGAGCAATTCAATCAATTCAGAAAAGATTTGCGCAAAGGTAAACAAATTTTTGATTTTAACACCAATTAGCATGTAAACTCCCTGTTTTTTTTTCATTTGATTTATTTTATTTCCTTTTATTACGCTTTGAAATGGAATGCATTCAACACTTCTATGCAATCTTCCAAAGTTCGGAAAATACTTATAGACAAAAGAGTACAACTTATTTTGAACATTCCATGCTGTATGTTTTCCTCCGAACTTTTATTGTTATACATTTTGTGTTTAAATAAACATATATTCTTTTACTTGTTCCTTTTTTTTTTGTTATTGTCATGATTGTTATCAATCTTTGGATGACCCCTTTTAAGTACTCTAGGGAGCATTTACTTTGAGATAGCTTGGTGCTATTATCAACAATATGTAAAAACATGATTTGCCTGATGCTACTGCGTATCGTGGCATCAGTTTATTATTTTAATTATCAAGTCACTGATAATATGATGATATATTAGTTTTGGGGTATCTAGGCGAATACACAAATGTTTTTGGATCATAAAATATGCCGTCTATCACCTTGGCATTTCACTGCGTGTGAATATCTCTTTTCTACGTCCGTATAGCATCGCGTATTGGCTCATCCTTTCTCCATTGGATCATCGCTTTTTGTTTAATGGGCGGGAACCATAACAATCTGGGAGTTTACTTAACTGTGCTTACCATTATGTTTGACTTTTTAAACACACCCCGAAATAACTAGAAAAATTGCAACACTTCTTCTTTGGTGAAAGAACTCCTTGGATAGAACCCGCCCTATCAGTTCAGCTGAGCCTCCAGTGTGATGCACCTTCTGGTAAGGATTTGCTCCTTTCAATTAAAGCGATCATGCTGAGTCGGTTCTCAGTGAAATGGCAGCATACTAAAGAATGAGACGTCAATAAAAATTTACTTATTGCTTTGTTGACCTGCCTAGATCCATTGACGCCCTGCTAAAAGCATTGTTTGTTTCCCCCCAAAAAAACGAGAAAGTATATTTCCTAGACTTCATCCTGTTTAAAATTATAGTTTTTTTTTTGGACTCCTTTCATGTTAGAGGCAAAATTCACCTCATTTGTCTCTCTCAGACTGAAACTCACTTCTTCTTCTAGCGTCAATCTAAAGAACATTCACAAAAAGCGTTAATACACGTGGTTTCATTAACCCTACATACCATTTCTACTCCTTCTATAGTCATTGAAAGTTGTACTCTGTACCATAGAACAGTTAAATGGATGCTTTATGAAGCCCTCACGCGAATCATTTCTGACATGTGTTTGCGGATTGGCACACCACTTACCGTCAAACGGGTCTCGTTTCTTCTGTGTAATTTAATCGATGACGATCTCGTAGATGCGCTGTGCCTGCGTATGCTTCATGACGGAATACTGGTCAAATGCACCGAGGAGACCTTCACGACCCGTAACATGGCGAAAATTTCGGTTCTGAACTCCTTGATCACCGAGGAGTACCAACACCTAGGGATGATACTGATGCAGGTGAATGAAAGAAGTTGGGTTCGTTACATCCCGCTCACCGCTGAGCACCGTTTCTTTGAGCTGAGGCCTTCCAGTATTGGAGCCGATGCGGGTCTTGGCCTCTTCCTCCGTAGCAGCCGTCGCATCCCTCAAGGCTGTGTCTTATGCGAATACCGTGGGAGATTGCTCAAGGCGTTGCCACGGACCGCGGAGAATGGGACGTATGTGGTGCGGGTGCGGAATACCGCCTCTTATCTCGACGGGGTTACTGAGGACGGCTTGCAGCATCTTTCCCTCGCGACCTTTATCAACGACAACGGGCCTTTACGAGCAAACGCCGCCATGACGGAGTACAACAGACATCCAGGGCGTGTTTTCGTCGTGGCCAATAGAGACATTCAGCCAAGGGAAGAGATCTTTGTTGTGTATGGGGCCACGTACTGGGGATTCACGTCGTATGCCGAGCTTAAGAAAGCGGAAGCGAAACGCAGTAAACGGAGACGTACTCCTGTTGAGGATGACGCAATGAGTTGCCATAATCTGATCATGCCCTGTCGCAGATGCGGGGACAACATCGTAAGGCGTTCTTTGCATCTGCACAGCGAACACTGTGGGGATTCTCTTATAAATAAAAAGCTTTTACATTTAGATTGTCTACCTTTTCACGACTTTACGGCTGCGGATGTATCGTTTAAAGTTCTATATGAGCACAGAAAAAAGGCATTGCAGCGTGCTAAGTCCTTTGTAAATCTGTCCGAACCCCAGACATTTTCTCACACTCATGAAGATGCTGTGGGTAATTTGGAATTTACGTTTAAAGAAAGTGTGTAGTTCCGGAAATTATACCCAACTAACCATGTGTCGGGATTTAACATTGATATTTCACACTTTCCTATTTATTTGTCATTTACTTATAGCTGTGACATTTTGTATAGTGGTGTTTGATTTCTATACATTAAGTTTTGTACTATCTTGTCTTATCTTTTTTCGTAGCCTATATGACTTATTTGCTTTGCTTCACATTATCTAATATATATATTATTTCACGTTTACGATGCAAGCTATGAATGTTCTCCTTAGTCGTGTAGGGACCAATGAAGCTGCTGTTGCAGCATCTAAATTACAAGGTGCTACAGAAGGCTACAGCGCTATGTTACTCAAAACGGTGGGGTTCAAATCCGAATGCATTCGTGAGCTGTCAGAAGGCTCGCTTGTATTTCCGTGGACTTCAAACAAAGAGTCTTTAAACGCGTTTGGAACCGTTCACGGTGGTGTGTTATCTACGCTGGCCGATGTTTTTACACGGATTCATCTTAAAGCGGCCGTTCCTCAATTACATGTTACTTCAATCAGTCTTGAAATCAGCTTTCTCTCCCCTGTTTTTGAGGATAAGGAATGCGTATGCGTTACACGCCTAGTTGGTAAACGTGATAATACCGTCTTCACAAACTTCTCGCTTGAGGACGGAAGTGGGGCGATTTATGCTCGGGGATCTCATATCCTTTCGTTATCGTAATACAACTCTTTATTATTTAGAACGATTCACAAGAAAAGATGTAGTTGTGTTATATTTTTCCCCTCTTGCTCATTCCTTTTGCTACCCCTTAGGTTGATTTGATGGGTCTAAATGAACCTTTATCATTACAAAACTGATAAAAGTTTGTAATCTGGAGATGCACAGTCTCCTGATAATTTATAATCACTTTTAAATGACCTCTATAGTGATCTCCTTATCAATGATATTTTATTTCCCTCATGAATGGTGTTATACGAACAGCAAAGTCCTGATAATAATTTCCATTACTGTCCATTCTATAAAAGCAAAATTCCTCATATATTTTTTTCTGTATCGATTAGGTTTATTTGTTTGCCTCTTCGTCACAATGGCTTCCCTTGATACTGCCGAGCTTAATGAATTGGTAAATATATTTCAAATCCTTCAGCGTGCCGAGCCTGCCAGCCAAATCACAGAGCGCAATGTGGTTGATATTGTGAATCTTATTATTAAGAAAAACCTGGTCGAACTCGTCTATACCACCGATGCCAAAGAGTACCTCACCCGAAACGCGCTAAAACGTGAGATTATCGATGAGGTTTATGCCAGCTGCGGTCGCCTCAACGTAGTGGATCTTCCTGGGTTGCTCAGCGTCCATCCACGACACGTGGAGGAGGTTCTGCCGGAAGTGCTTGAGGAGACTCCTAGTCTTCGTCTCGAGGGCAATGAACTGATGACGGACCAGTACCTCCGTGAGGCCGTTCAGTCCGCGTCGGACGCCCTCAACGAGCAGGGCTCCCTCCCCATTACTAATTTTGCCTCGCAGCATCAGTTCAGCTCTGTGTTTGCGATGCAGATCTTAACCGCGGCGGTACAAGAAGGTCGTCTCGACGCCGTCATTCAGGATTCGGTGTTCTACACCAAGCGATATGTCATCTCACAAAAGATCATCCTACGCTCGGGTCTGCTCGCGGCAACCCAGCCGTTGGACTTGGTTGCGCTTTATAAACGCCATCAACTGTTCACTCCACTAATGGACACCCTCATCTCTGAGCTCCAATCCGAGCTACCTGGGGTCTTCCAGGGCTACATCTACACCCCGTCGGCTTTCGAGCGGTACCGGACGGGCCAGATCACAAACATCTACACCTCGAACGGCTACATCGACTACGCCGCGGTTCAGCGCTTGGGAATCACCAACGCCCGGCAGTACCTGCTTTCGCACTACAATCCCACGAGCGGCCCAGCGGAGGCCCTTCCCCCGGGCGACGCGGCCCCCCAACGACGAGGTGGAAAGCGGAAAACAGCCCACAAAGACGCGCAAAAGAGGGCCCATGTCGTGGCCCCACCGATGGTCTGCGCGACGGCTGCGTTCCCTCTCTGTGGGCACGCGTTGGGCGGTTGTTTTCTCTCGGACCGCCATCTTGCGAACCTGGTGGCGCTGCATCCCATCGCGGAGGCGGAGGTAGCGGCGGTCGACATCACACAGATCTTTCCGACCTGCGTCGACTTGGAAAAGGATTGGCCGCTGCTTCATCCCCGTTTATGCGACCTCTACCCTGGACTGGATAAATGCGATTTAATTGATAACGTTGTGTTGATACAAAAAGATCTCAAGGCGAAGATAAGGCCGCTGCTGATGAACGCCTTGGAGTCGAGAAACCAGTCGGTTCGGTCAAAAAAAAAGGCTGATTCCCAGTCACCAGAGGAGTTGATCATCAAAGTGATTTCGGAAAAACTTGAACTGAACCTTGAACAGTATGCCGGGGTACTCAGGGAGATTGCAGACCGTTGGAGCGACTTTATCGAAGATATTGTACAACAGGCAGATACTCTGCGTGAAAATAAGACAGCATCTGAAGCGAAGGAGTTACGTCAATCTATCATCTCAAAAATGACTAACACATGGATAGAGCTGGTGGTCGTGTCTAAAGGAATTCAATGGGCCAAGCTCCAGTTTGATGAGGATACCAATGTGGTCTTAAATCGACACGTACTGGGAGATCAAGCGTATGAGCTCTGTCGAGATGTTTTTCTCAATGAAAGCCTAGATAATATGGGACTGTACCAAAAGGTGTGTAATGCATTGGATCAGGTGACTAACATAAGTAATCTTCAGAAAGCACTTGCCCCTTTTCCGGCAAATGATCACGCAGCCCTCAAACCTATAATAGATGCCCTGAAGGGCAAAGAGTTAGGTACCCTTATGGATCTTTTGCAGAGTATGAGTAGTGTTGGTAACATTGCGATAGCATCCTTCCACGTGCCTAACAAGAAACTGGAGCGTGATACTTATACCAAAATGAAGATGTTAGTCGTGGCGGAGGTTCAAGAAACTTCCTTCGGAGACAACGCCTCCGCGAACGGGGTGCTGTTTGCGGCTCTGTGCACAGTCTTGATACATCAGTTATTTCACGTGCATCTTAGAATTCCAGGCAAAATAGTGCGCGCCGTGGTTGCACATTTGACTAAAGAGTCTAATGCGCCCGCCGACCTTACTGCGGTGCATGAGGCAGTTTTGAGAGCCCTGAAATCTGGTCACGTGGACGCTGAAAGCTTAGGCACGTTGAATCTGTTTCGTGAACAGGTGCTGAAAAATATATTGGACTGAAAATGGTTCCCATTCTCTATTCCCAACTAAACAGGTCCGATGGTACTTTACTCAAGGTATGAGATATTATTTAGTTTTGTGTGCATGTGATTCTAAAAACTCTATGATGCATTGAACTGCGACTCAAGCATTTTGAATCATTTGAACTTTTTTTGGGGGGGTGGTAGAGGAGGATATTCTCATCTTTTTCATTTTCAACTTACACCAAGTGTATGAGTGGATACAACATTTGAGTTATTTTTGCCTAGTGAATGCACCATCATACATGAAGAAAGTGAGAAACATCAAACTAAACGTATTACTAAAACGCGATAGCTCGTGGTCTTCGCATGCTACTGGAAGGAAAACAGTTACCGAGCTATATGACCAACTCGTTCGGAAAGGTATTATTTCGTTTGATAAAAGCCAGCGCGCTATGACTGAGTCCTGCGATCCTCTAGTGTCCCTTATTAATCGATCCAAAGAAGTTCCCTCGTTGCCTCCCATCCATTTTAGCCCAAGTACGAATCGTCTCCGCATTGTCAACAGGATATACTTCTGTCATCTAATACGACATTTTCTATCAAAAGGCATGCGTAAATTAGTGTCGAATACCCCTTCTCGCAGTCTTGAAATTCCCCACCCCGTGTTCGTGGGCGCACCGGAAAAGCGAGGGTTATATATCTGGGGTTCTGTCGGGATTGGAAAGACAATGATACTCGATTTATTTGACATGTGTGATCTGCCATTGCCAAAGCGTCGCTCGCATTTGCATTCCTTCATTACGGATATCTCCAACCGCCTGGTTAAAGCGGAATTGGACCTCCGTCAACGTCGGCTAGCGGCGCAAACCCCTTCGGAGAGGGGCCTCGTGGCCCCCGTCAGCCCGATGGATTTGGTAGTCGACGATGTCCTTCGTGAATCTCCTATTTTGTGCTTTGATGAATTTCAAACCTTCGATGTCGCCCACGCGGCCATTCTTGCATCATTCTTTAAAAATGCCTTTGCAAAGGGGATTTTTTTCATCACCACCAGCAATCGGCCACCCGAAGATATCTGTACGGTATCCTCTTCCTTTACGCAGTTTCTGCCGATCCTAAAGTCCTACTGCTACGTGGTACACGCCGAAAACATCAGGGATTATCGGTACAAGCCCACAAAGGAGCACTACCACGCGAATATATTTTTGTATCCCAACACCAAGGAGAACGCCGAGCGGATGCTCCGACGATTAAATCGCGGGATCAAGACCGCGCAAGGGGGCTCGGAGTGGATGGAGGGCTACAGCTTATGGCATCACGGCCGCTGTATGGTGATCCCATACTACCTTAACGGCGTTGCGGTTTTTGACTTTCAGGACATTTGTGGAGGGCGGCAGGGGTTGAGCCCGGTTGATTTCGAGCTCTTGGCGCACCTCACACACACCGTCTTCATCGCGAACGTGCCAAAAATCAGTTCTGCCAATCGCAACGCCGCCCACCAATTTATTATCCTCGTCGATGAGCTCTACCAGCATAACGTGAAGTTGCTCTTCACCTCGGAGGTGCCGTGGTATGAGCTGTTGGAGTCCGAAGAGTACGGTACAAAGGCTAATATATTAGGGGCCTCGACAGACTACTACTCGGAGGGCGAGGATGAAAGAAGCGGGTGTGCCGCAGTGTATAACTTTCAAAACGAGGAGGAATCTATCAGCTTCACACGTATCAAAAGTCGCTTGCACGAAATGGGTTGCATGTCTTATCTTCTCCGACAACATGAACGTTTTGTTGTTTCGGATTTTGATTTTAATTCTCTTATAGAAAACATATAACATCTTCCATGTTGCTGCTTGAATATAGTGTCTTCACTGTTATTATGCTCCCGTAAGGCTCTATAGCCGTGGGATCGCTTGCTTGATATCAAGGACAACAACTCTTCATACTCTCTCCTATTTCAGTCTTATTGCTTCCTTTTAAGTTTGTCTTTTCATAGATCATATTTATCCCCATTACCTTTAGCACATTATTTATCACTTCAAAAAAGTGGAAATACTCTAATCAAATTTCAGGTCCTCTGCATACATCTTGACGTCTGAAAATTGAAAGTCATTGTTAGTAAAAAAAAAATTATATATATATAGTATTCTACAATAATAATAGTAGGTGTGTTTTATCCAACCATTTCTTACATAGGTTTTATGTCATCTGTCCAACGCAAACGTGGAATAAGTTTTCGTGTTCATTATTGCAATTCGAGCGACCTGTCTTACACACTCAATGACACCGAAGAAAGTCTAGTGTCTTTTCGACGCACGCCATCTCTGAGCAATGTTGGGCAATTTCTGATTCCACCGAAGCTAAGCACCGATGCGAAAAAACTGACAGTGGTTTTGGATTTGGATGAAACCTTGGTGTATGCGCGGATGGGTCCGCTTTATGTACGCCCTGGCATGGAGCAGTTGATGGCCTTTTTGGCCGAACACTGCGAGGCGGTGGTGTGGACCTCCAGTGTGCACTTATATGCGGATGCGGTAATTGACCAAATCGACCCATGTGATGCGATTCGTCATACTGTTTACCGACACTCACGCTGGTTTAACGGCCAGTCCGCGACCAAAGAACTGCAGCTGCTCGGGCGGGATTTGGAGTCCACCATCATCATCGAAAACACGCCGGACTGCCTGCTGGGCTATGAGCAGAATGGCATCATCGTGGAGGACTACGAGGGGGGGGAATTAGAGGACACAACGTTAACCCGCTTACTGGGATTCTTACAGGATTTGGTGGCGCGGCGGGCGGCGGATGGGATTACCGTGCCGGAGTTCATCCAAAGCAGCCACCATCTCCGATTGGGCGAGTTGCCCTCGAATAAGGGCTCCTCCCTGAAATGCTTTTGTTTGAAATCGGCCGATGAGGTTTCAGTGCCGGTGCGCAGGAAGAGAAAGTCGTTTGATTCGTTAGCGCACTCAGTTCTTAGCCTTGATCAACACGCGGTTCTTCGGATTTTGTCTCAAAACGAAATGAAATCCTTCCTGAAACGGAGGACTAAGGGTCAAATTATGACTCGCTGAATTGCTCTCACGCATGTATGCGTCTAATTTCTTTTCACAGCTGAAATTTTTGGAAAAAAACATGATACTAAGCATTTTTCCCTCATAACATGCTGCTTTTAATTGGAAGGGGGAAATGATTTGCTTTTCCATCTTAGTTTATTCTGTATTATTTTTTATTTTGGTGTAAAGAGTGCCTTTTTATATAATGTTTATTTTTTAGGATTGGTTGAACAAAGAGTTTGATCCTTCCTTATTATCGTTTACACTCTTTATAAGGTTCATTTATCCTACTGGATTCCATGTCCGAGAGTAGCAACCTAGCTTTTTTTATCGTTTTATTCCTTTTCCTTTGAAAAATGAACTTGTCCTATAGAGGATTTGCCAATAAATTCTTAATTCGTGCTTGATATAAGCTCAATCAAGGAAATCATACTACACGACTTTTCGCCATTTATTTGTATGTCATTAGAATGCTACGGTAAAGGTGAATGCACATCTTTGATAGTATAGTTGTAGAAAATCGGCTCGAGTCCCACTTTGTGTTTCACACATATAATTGGTATTTTCCAAGGTTCCCTGCGTTTTCATTGTACATGGTAAGATGCTTCTATCTTTATTAAGTCGTTATCTTTTTTGTTGCTCATTTTATTTCCATATCTCTTACATTAAGTATAAGTATGAACTTTAATGTTGTAAAACGTACTACGCTCCCTTTTAATTTAGGAAAGCAGCTGGCTCTTTTGTTTCCAAAGGTATACCTATGGAAGTAGTATAAGCTTTCTAAAAGGAAATATAGAAGTAGCAATTTGAGTATTATAGATATATATATATATATATCTAGATTTTTATTTATGATTATTTTGAAAAAAAAATGGTAAATAAAATAATTCATTCTGTACAGTATTGCTTTGTTTGTCATTTTTTCCCATGAATGGAACTTTTATTTCATTTTAAATCGAATTATTTTACATATTTACGTATACAATAGTAATCCTCAGAAAATGGTGAAACAAGAAAGAGAAGAATATTACTTAGCACGGAATAGGTGTATGTTTTTTTACTTATTTTTAAATGATTTTGTTCTAATCATAGAAGATGTACTCTAATACATTGATTTTTTATTTGAGTTTATCTTGCTTTATTTTCATTTTTTATGGCGTTCATTTTCTTCTTTAATTTTTTTTTATCTTTATAAATAACGCTTTCTGTTTTCATCCTTCGACCTTCTTCCTTATTATTAAGATCACAAAGACATGCGCCTAATAGAGGTCATTAATTTTTTTTAGCTGATTTCCATCATTAATTCAGTGTTCCTTAATTGAGTCTTACTCCTTTCCTTTTATATGATGCATGGTGATTTTTTTAGTACCAGCTGGGGTATTTCCTTTTCTGTGCATCCTTTATCATGCTAAAAAAATCCTTTATATAATAAATATCTCAAACTGATATAAGTTAGTCGAATTTTTTTTCAGAAACATGGTCTGTGTTAGGTAATATTTAAATATGAAAACCTTTTTTCGTCACGTTTTGTAGCATTTTGTTCTTAATACTTTTACATGCTGATATAATTTTTTTTGCGTATAGGAAAGAGCTAGCCTATGTGCTAAATCTCATGATATTTAGTAAATGATAATTTCCTTGAGCCTAATTGAGTGTTTCTGCTTTTTCATACCGAGTCTATCCTAGTACAAGTTAAGTAAACTCCAATACATTAATAGATTGACTTTTTTTTGAAGGAGGAACCCCTTTCGTGTGGTTTCGGGCTAGTTTTGATTTTCAAAGGCAAGGTGTAAAGACTCCGTGTGTGCATTTCCCTTCCGTTTTTCTGGCACTAACTTCCCGTTACAGAGGATCAGAATTCAGTACAGCCTTGGGTCTCTGAATCATGGATTTTGTACTGCGGAAGGTTCATGAGAAGATCCACCGGAGTCTCAACTCCAGAGGGGGGGCCAAGTACTTCAGCAACGTCCACAGCGGCGAAGGGGCTGAGCTGCGGAAGGACCTGAAGAGCACCGACCTCAGTCGCCAGCGGGATGCGGTGAAGCGCGTGATTGCGCAGATGACGATGGGACGCGACGTCAGCTACCACTTCGTCGACCTCATCAAGCTCAGCCAGACCGAGGACCTGGAGCTTAAGAAGCTGGTGTACCTCTTCGTGCTGAACACGGCGAAGCTGCAGCCTGACAAGGCCATCCTCGCCGTGAACACCTTCCTGCAAGATGTAACAAGCCCCTCCCCCGTCGTCCGCGCGCTGGCCGTCCGCACGATGCTGTGCCTGCGCGTCCCGGCCGTCCTGGCCCACCTGATGCAGCCCTTGCATAGCGCCGTGACGGACCCTGACCCTTACGTCCGCAAGACCGCCGCGATCGGGATCGGCAAGATCTTCCACCACAACATGGACGTCTTCTACGAAAACGGCTTCGCCGATGAGCTTCTTAAACTTCTCTTTGACAGTAACCCACTGGTCGCCTCGAACGCGGCGGCGGTGGTGTGTGAAGTGAACAACCACGGAAAGATCCAATTGAAGGAAACTCCGGAGTGGTCTAGTCGGATTCTGATCAACCTCCCGGAGGCGACGGAGTGGGGACAGGTTTATTTGCTCGAGCTCCTCTCGAGACTTAGCCAAAAAAATGAGGAATCCGCTGAGGCCGTCGTTGCGAGGGTGCTGCCGCGTCTTAACCACGCCAGCCACGCCGTCGTGATGGGGGCAATTAAGGTGATCACCAACATCTCCAATCGCTGCTCGACAGAAACGATTGAACGCGTTACGATGCGCATCAACGCCGCACTGCTAACTTTGGCAGGCGCCAGCGACCCGGAGACGCAGTATATTGTGTACAAAAACATCCACGCCTTAATGGTGATATTTCCTAACATCCTACGCACCAACCTCGACGCTTTTTACGTCCGCTTCAATGATCCACCGTACATCAAAATTGAGAAGCTAAGGCTGTTATTGCGACTCGTAACGCCATCAATGGCTCCCGCTATAGTAAGTGAGTTGACAGAGTACATTACTGAAGTGGACATGGTCTTTCTAGAGGAGGTCGTTTCAGCTATTGCGTTGCTGGCCATCAAAATAGAAAATGTCTCTACACAGTGCTCGGACTTGCTCATGAAGGCTCTTCAAGTCCATCCTGAATTGCTACCGTGCATCGTGATCGCCTCCAGAAATATTGTACGCAAGTACCCAAGGCTTCTCCTTTTGGAACCACTAGCCAACGAGTACGGCCCTGATTCCATCATTGGTGAGGAGGCAAAGACATCCTTTGTTTGGATGCTCGGTGAGCATTGTGATTTCATCGAGAATGGCCAGGCTATTCTGGAGCAGTATATTAAGTCTGTCATGTCACATGAACCTTCTGTGCAGCTTAGCATTCTGGGTGCGGTCATCAAGGTGTTTTTGCGGAATCCCTCCGCGATGCAGGCGATGCTGAGCACCTTACTCGAAACCTTAACAACACAAAGCGAGGATCCCGACGTGTGTGACCGCGCCTTCGCGTACTGGCGGCTATTGTCAAAGGATGTTGAAATAAATAAAATGAAACGAATTCTGGAGAGTCACAGTTTTTCTGTAAATGTGGACCGCACCTTCAGTGACGCAATGATGATGGCAGACCTTAAAAAGTCAATCAATACCGCTGCCGTGGTTTTTGGGCAGCCCCCTCAATCCTTCTTGCCACCCTACGGTCTTGCAGATGTGGATCTTGTCGACGACGATGAGGGGGACGAGGACGAGTACGTCACCGACAATGGTGAGGAAAGCAAGTATCCTACTTCTGGGAGCACTCAAGCTGAAGCCTCTTCGCCAGTTAGGTCACAATCTCAAAGTAAACATAACGACGTAGTGGGGGAGTCCGTGGGAAAACCCTCAGCAACTCATCAGGATGCGCTCGATATCTTATTTTCCACCATTTCACTTTCCTCTCCTCCTCCGGCGCTGTCGCACACGACAAAGGACGAAAAAAGTATGACATCCACCCCCACTCCAGTGGTCCATCTAGAAAAGAATCAGCAATCAAATCCAATGGATGATTTGTTTTCATAGTAGATATTTGGCCACGCATGAGGTGGATAAAAATTCCATATAGTAGCATTAACCCATTGGAAAAAACTTGGGTCATCAGCTTTTTTCTTACTTCCCTTCCTATTTAATTTGGATTGGCATGGGAAGAAAATTAGAAGTACTGATATTTTTTTTTATTGTCTTCAGAATATCGCAATAACTGATACGGCCCTCGTTCTGGTTGATGCAATAAGCGTGCTCAATTCACAAACCGCTACTTTTTCAATTGGAACAAAAATACCGAGAACAACAACACCCCCATTGAGCCGTCTTTTCCGTGAAACTCTTTTGATCTACAATTCGTTTTGAGTACTGAGTTATGTATCATTCTGACTCAGTGTTGTAATGATTTGAAAATAGTATTATCACCATTTATTTATCCTATTTAGTATCCCACAAATTAGTAGAATCCCATAAAAAAGCAAAAATAACAACATAGTGTTTGTCAAATATTTACCATGCTTCGTCGCATCGCTGTAATTTTACCAACTCTGGCTGCATCCACCGCACGGTTCTACACTCCGTCCGAGCCGCTCAAGAAACTTTACGCCAGCGACTTTGAAAAGGCAGCGTTCCCCATCGATATCACCCCAAGTGATTCTACTCTGTTTGCAAAATTTCTTTACAAGGCGGCCGAACCCGACACGAGCTTCGAAACCATCCTAAAGGACTTACAGGGGGTCGCCGATACCACCTCAAAACTACCCGTCTTCTGGGAGCGCACCTGTGTACTTGATGATGTCGAGGCGTTCAAAAACGTGTCGGAGCCGATGCTTTTTACCCTTCACTGGATGCAAAGCAATGACATGTTGGGGCTTCTCCCCGAAGTCACCAGTGTTTACGAGGCCTATGTTAATGCCAAGCTGAACCAAGCGGTTGCGAAGATTTATGTGGCTCCCGGGAAAACTAAGGAAACCGCAACCATTAGGCGGGCCAAAGAGGTAGCCGAACAGCTCGCGAAGGAGAATAGCACGCTCTCCGGATGCAAACTTATTTTTAAGGTTTTAATAGATCACGCCATCGTCGAAGGCTTCGCGGTGGACCTGCGTGGGGTCTATGTAAATCAAGCTAAAGGACGTCAGGTTGATACTTTAGCAGCGGACGAAATCGACTATGCCTATATCCCGCCACCACCTCTGAAGAAAACAGTCTGGGCGGAGAACATTGAGACGGAGGTCTTTCGTAAATATTTAGATGGAATTGTACAGTACGATATGGAAGAGGTAAAATACGGTGTCTAAAGCTTGAATATACTCATTATTGTATGTGTAACCTACCTTTCTCAGGGGCAATCCTTATGCTTCATTATTTATCGGTGTGTTTTTGTGTGCTCGTTTTTCAGGAATCCGTATTTATAAACGGTGCACGTGAGGAAAGAAACCTTTTGAAGTTAATTACTGTAGTAGAAACTTTATAGTGTATCTGGATTAGATTGATTGGAATGCGTAGAGAAGTCCTAGTAAGAAGGAGTAAAGAGAAAAAAAAGGAAGCTTGTTTAGCTTATTACAGAAAGAAATGGGATGTGAACAGCAGTCATGTTCAGCTTTTCTTGTGTAGTCATATCCATAGTCTTGATGTTTGTTATCTGTTTTTCCCTTTAATAAGTTCTTTTATTTCTCACAAGTGTATTTCCTATCGATCCTACCTTTTTGAAGAACTATTTTTATTTTGGATTATATTTGTGATATTTAAGTGACTCCTGTTATCTAATGCTCAGCAAGCTAACGTACCCAATTGTGCGGAGGTCGTCTGCCTCCTACTATATTCATGGCAAACTCGTCCCCGAGCCATACGACTACCTGGAGAATCCATCCAACGACGAGACGAAGTCTTTTGTTGACAATCAAAATCAACTCTTTGAGGCTTTTATGGAGCCGTCGTCTGAGCTTATGAAAAAAACTAACGACCGCATCTCCACGCTGTTGGATTACCCTCGCACAGGATGTCCTGCTTTTCATGGTGGAATGTATTACTACAACTATAACACGGGTTTGCAAAATCAAAGCATACTTATGCGTGCAAAGAAACTGGATGGTCCCGCAGAGGTTTTTTTAGACCCGAACGAGATGAATGCGGATGGTACGACGGCTATCAATGTGAAGGAATGGAGTCAGAATGAAGAACTGCTGGCGTACGGCCTTTGTGACAAGGGAAGTGATTGGGTGTCCATCCACGTACGCAGCGCTAAGACAGGTAAAGACTTATCTGATAAAATTGAGTGGGCTAAATTTACGGCCTTATCGTGGTGGGGAAATGAAGGCTTTTTCTACACCCGTTATCCATCACTTGGGGACGATGTGGATAAGGGTGCCGAAACCAATCTGGGAGAGAACCCCTTCCTGTGTTTCCACAGGATAGGGACACCGCAAGAGGAGGACATGGTGATCCTCAAGGTCCCGGAGCATCCGTTGTGGAGCTTGGGTGCTGAAGTTTCAGACTGCCAAAGATACCTTATTGTTGAACTAAGGGATGGATGTGAGCCCAAAAATCTTTATTGGATTGCACCCCTCCCGTCTTCTACAGAAGCTCTGTCAGAGCCGTTAAACTTCCAAAAAGTGATTAATGAATTTGTCGCCGAGTATTCATACCTTGGTAACGACGAAGAAGAGTTTTATTTTTTATCTACTAAAGGAGCACCACGAAGGAAAGTGGTGTGTCTCTCTCTTAAAAACGAAAGCGAACGAGATGTGGTTGAAGAACAGTCTTCCTTGCTGGGCCATGTGATTTTGGTCAAACAAACGCTTCTTTTGATCTACATAGAAGACGTGAAACACGTTTTCTACTACCGAACTTTAACCGAAAACACCTTGAATCTCTTGGACCTGCCCATTGGGTCTATTGAATCGTTTTTTGCCAAGCGCAACAAGGATTTCGTGTCCTTCAAGATCTCTTCCTTCTTGCTGCCAGGTCGTATCTTTATGATGGACATCAATGATCCCCAGGGCTCCCTCAAGATATTCAAAGACGACACGGTCAGTGGTGTCGACCCGGATAAATTTACAGTAAAGCAAGTATTTTTTGAATCCCTGGATGGCACGCGCATCCCGATGTTCATCGTGCATGGTGATACACCAGTAACATCTTCATCTCCTGTACTTGTATATGGATATGGAGGCTTCAACATTTCTCTTATGCCGTATTTCAGTCCCTATGCTTTCGTTATTCTTCAGAATTTCCGTGGCGTGATGGCAATCCCTAATATTCGTGGGGGTGGAGAGTACGGTGAGGAGTGGCATGATGCCGGTCGTCGCGCGAACAAGCAGAACAGCTTTACGGACTTTATTGAGTCCGTAAAGTATTTGCACGCCGAGGGCATCGGCTCACCCCAGACCACTGCCATCATGGGTGGCTCCAATGGTGGACTTTTGGTCGCGGCGGTCGCCAATCAAGCCCCAGAGTTGTTAAGGTGTGTCGTGTGCTGCGTCGGTGTTCTTGACATGTATAAGTTCCATAAATTCACTATCGGGCACGCATGGATCTCGGATTATGGCGATCCCGACAAAGAAGAGGACTTCAAAATCATCGAGAAGTACAGCCCGCTACACAATATTAAGCCAGGTATAAAATACCCTGCAATTTTGGTTCTAACGGGGGATCATGACGATCGTGTCGTACCGCTGCATTCACTAAAGTATATGGCAACGCTCCAGCACGCGAACCCCACTGAAAGTGGGCCTTTCTTGGCGTGCATTGAGGTTGCGGCAGGCCATGGTGCCGGAAAACCTATAAGCAAACAAATCACTGAGAAGGCGAATATATACAGCTTCATTGCAAAGAGTGTTGGAGCTTCATGGCACGACTAGTGAAATATTTTAATGCCATTTTCTTTATTTTTTTTCATAGAAAAATTTATATACAAGAATCTTCAATATATTTGAGTATTAACAGTGAATTTAACAAAATCCATATAAAACTTTCTTCGGTGTGTTCGCCACACCAATTGTTTCTGAAACATCTTATTCTTATTTAAACTCATGCATAAAGTTAAAGTGATAAAATTCTAATGGGTTAACGAAATGAAAACAATAAAGCGATTCTATGCAGACACAGATAAGGGCAATCCCCTTGAAAACGAGTCCTGCAGTTGATCTGTTACTCATTAATCTCAAAAAGGCAAAACTTTAAGGAAGGACACGCCGACACATAAACCGACGTATTGGCTCAGTAGGCTACCTTGGTTAAGGGCATGGGAGAGGAGGACCGGGCCGCCCTGCAAGGCGTGCCCTCCGAGACGCCAAGCGCCCGGACAAAGACGAAAGGACACAGGCCGACAAGTACGCTGTGGGAAGTCCTTCTTGCGGACCTCTGGCGGGGACCCTTGCACGCCCACAGCCGCACACGCGATCGGCTGGGTCATATCGACTTCGCGATGGTCGTCCCGCCCACGCGCGCGCTGCTCTACTGCATGCTCTGCCCATATCTTTCCTACGCGATATCGCTGTCGAGTCTGTACGGGTTTTACCGCTGCCTCCGAAGCATGGTGCCGCCCAAGTACTACCATCACGATCGCTACTCGAAACGCGTGGTGTATGGCGCACAAAAGCGAGTCTACGACCCGAGGTATAAGCGAATCTGTGAAATACAGATCGAGGACGTTGAGGAGATACGACATGCGCTGCAAGTCGTTGGTGAGATGCGCAATCAGTTTATCGACGACCCGGAACGACCCGGAACGGCGTATCTGGTCATTCAACAACGCATCATGAGGGCGGAGGCTCTTTTTTCGGGCGAAAACTGGGCTTGGGCATTCGTGTCCGATAGTTTCCGCTACCTGACCCCAGTTTGCTTAGCGTATCTTTTCCATCCAAGCTGTCGACGACTAACTGTAGATTTGCGGCTGTGGTTTCAAGGACGACTGTGGTGGCGGCAAATCCGTCACCCTATTCTGAACTTCTTCAAATCTTATAGTGAATACAACCGGGCAATGAGTCGTATCAACATCACAAAACCGTTACCCAAAGGTTCTCAACCTTGGAGTAAAAATTTGTAGCCTTTGTTGTTTACGTTTGAACAAATTTCGTCAGTTCAGATAGCCACTTGGTGTAAGTGAACTTCTCTTTGTATCGTGTCAAACAAAAAAAAAGGAAAACCTATTTTTAGGTACCAAAAGAAATTATCAGTGCTTGCTTGTTTGTGTTTGTGTGATAAAACAGAAAAAAAAACAAATTGTACTGTTTCCACTGGACGAAGGATTTTTTTCTTTTTCCTGACATTTTTTCTTACTAAGTATCACTATATTATTTTTCTCTTATCAACTTCATCACTACAATCTTATGCTGCTGCATGGAATTGTTTCGTAAGTATGTTGGAACGTTAAAGAAGTCCAGTTATGAAGAAGAGACACAACGCGAACGGCGTCGAGTGCGCCGTCAAGAGCGCTTCCTCAGTATCCAATCTGATCGGGAAAATCGTAATCGGCAAATTCTTTTTAGGGATATTCACACCATTTCAAAGTTCAACACAATCGCGGAGTTGGACCTCATAGATTCTGTTGACCAAGCTCTTGGATGGTGGCATTCGATGTGCGATCATACTATCGAGCGCCAACTACAGTGTGAGTTGGCGTTGCAGAAGATGAAAGTTCATGAGGTGGAATACTTAAAAGGTGCTCTTGATCGTGAGAACAAACATTCGGTAGTGATCTTTGAGGCCGATGCAAATCGTTGGGAAGAAGCTAGGAAACTACATCTAGATGCTGAAATACGGGCTCAGAAAGAGTCCATACAAGACACCATAAATGCTGTGATGCAGCTGACCGAGCAGTGTATATCCTCTTTCAGCGCAAACGGACTGGAAAATGACGAAGGGGTTTCGTCCCTCTACGTAGACACCAACATTATTGCTCAACTTTTTTTAGACAATGAAATCCGTCCACAAGAGTGTGAGGATGATGTGGGGGTTTCACTTCCTTGTTCTATGGTAAGCTTCTCTGCGGCTAAAGCCTTCAAGGCGATTTTTCAGCATGAAAACCCGTTTAGTATCTCTTGCCCCGAATTTTTGCAGCTTCTGCACTTCGTATTCAAAGAAGATTGTAAAGAAAACTACGACTCGCGCACTTTTTTTGATTTCAGCGAACTCCCCACTATTGCTCTGAATGGACCGAAGCTGAGTGGGAAATCACTTCTATCAAACTACATTGCATCCCACTGCGGGTTTTACTGCGTCACGGACAAAGATTTGGTGCAAAAGGCGCTGGACACATTTGAGAAAAAGAGCGCCGCCATCCCGGATTGCTCCCCTAAGGCGAAGAAACCCCCGCAAACCGAGGAGGAGTGGTCGAGCATCGGCGCCACCCTGAAGGAGTTGCTCCTGAAGGGTCACTCAGTGCCCTTCACTGCCATTGTTCAAATGGTCCGCCTCCAGCTCCAGGACTTGAATTCCCAAAACCCATATGATGACGACCCTAAAGAGGTCGCCGGGCTCTTGCTTGATGGCATCATTAGCTCCCCGGATGTATATGAAGAGCTGCATAATGCCTTTCTACCCTCCAAAGATCTTTTATACGAGCCTTTGATCCGGTGCTGGTGTGAATCGTTATCAGCGCCTGACGAAACCCAGGAGGCAGAGGCAAAAAATCAGATTCAAAATATGCTTCGAATACCAAAGCTCCTAGACGAGCCTCCTATTCAAAAGGAAAGCAAAGAAAAGGTTTTCAGGCGCTCTGCCGGTGCCTCCACGCTGCCATTACCGACATTGCCAATGGTCGATGATATTTCAGAGGAAGTACAGCACGAAATGACATTCATTAAAAAAGCAACGGCTGAGCTTTCAGACTATACGTCTATGCTCACGGCTATCATTCAAATTGAGTGCGATCCTGAGGAGTTGTTTCGGCGCTTCGCAGGACTCCGAATCGATCAAGAAAATGGTGCGGAGTATCATATGGTGTACTGCCCGCCACCACCAAACCGCGCGCCATTTCTGATACCTTTGGAGCGTACGCAGGCAAACACCGTGCATCTCGCCGACATCATCCTTCACCAGCAAGAGAAGTGGATGAAGATGCGACGTTGGCTTTCGATGCAATCCCAGCCTAATCTGATGTCGAAAGTATACGAACTCAACGGCGAACAACCAATCGAAGCCATTCAGGGTGTCATGGACGGTATTTTATCTAGAATTAACGAAAACTTCATCGCGGCTCGGAACCTTTTCCGATCCATGAAGGCCTCGCGGGATCGCGTAGCGGCGCTAAAGGATACCCACGCCCAGCAAACCGCCGAGCGGGAGGCCAAACGGCAGCATCTCATCGGACTCTACAGTGAAAAAGGGGCCCCGTTGCCAACCGAGCTGCAGGCCGTCTCTTTGCCCAATGAGTGCGAGACTTCCGACCCGCTCAGGCTCCCACGTGGGGTGTGCAGGGTCGTTCTGAAGGCCACCCATTCCTTTACGCTGCGCTACATAGGGACCTACGACACGGCCTGGGGGTGTTTGCGGTCCCTCGCAATGCAAGTCACGCAGTATCGTGCGATCGCCTTGGGGGAAATGCAGCGGTTCATGCGCTTTCCAGACGATAAGCAACGAATTCTGGATAACTTTATCAAGCATTTTAATGGTGTGCGAGCCTTGATGCGGAGCGAAATAAGCTTTAAGGAAGAGGCCCATGCCATGGTCGAGGAGCTCGCGGATAATCTCTTCAGGTATGTATCTACGACGAAGAAGAAATGGCAACAACTAATATGTGCCATTATTCGGCGAGATTCATTTATGGAGAGCTGGGAAAGCAGCCTACGCAACGTCGGCATGACCCTTGCACAGGCGGAGGCAGAGCGCTTCGTAATGGTGGTTCGTCTTTTCGCCTTCTTCTTCAACTCTCAAATCGGAGATGAGCTGATTACGATCGAGGAACTTGACTGGGAAACCGCCTTCGCGTCGATCAATACGGCCGAAAATTTAGAGTGCTCTGTTCGGATCGAAAAGAAGCGGATGCCGAATGTAAAGAAGCAGCACCCCACCAGCACGAGTACTCATGCATACGGCAAGTGCACGGACGATGGGTCGACGCGATCAGCTCGCGATGCCTTCGATGAGCTACTTCAACGGATCGTGGCGGTCCTTACGAGCTTTGTGGATCGTTTTCGGACGACCAGCGATACTAGCCTAAAAGTCCAAAAGAAGACGACGACAGCAGGTACGGTGCGAGAGGAAACTATCATTTCGCATTTCACTCCTTTTGTCGAGGCAGAAATTTCGCGCACGCTGGAACGGCTTTATTGCATCCGTGATTTTGTCGGGAATATGGCAAGCCAAGCCGAACAGTATCGCGCAAAGATGAGGGATAAGATGCTCGAGGATATGACGGAGGCAGTGCACGCCGAGGCCTCCGCCGTGAACTCCGCGCTGTATATTCTGCGTTGCTGCATCGAGGAAGAGAACAAGGCTCCTCGGATGCACCTAGGCTGCGGTACCTTTGCCGTTCTTGACCCCTCCGGCCAATCGATCGTAGATCCCTCGCAGACCAATCAGCCCAAGGCAAGCCACAAGTCCCCGAGCTTTATTACGGATGTTCCCCTTTACCAGGGGACACTGGAAAACACGCTGGATGTGCACCCGGGGCTTAGCTTTGGACGGCTTGGATACCTCATCATGAGCTTTGCCACGGTCGCCCCTCAGTATCAACTTTCGAAGAGCGATTTTATGCGCTTTGTAAGAGAGGAAGACTACAGCTCGATATCATCCAACACGACTAGCCCTTCCTCATCAGGCACCTCGAGAAGGCGCCTGAAGTCGACTTTGATGCTCTTTCATGCGTTTGACGTTAATCAGGCGGGAGTGATTGACTGGCGTGAGTTTATCATGCATTTGCTCTTTTGGTGCAAACCCCCTACTGCGAAGAATGTGGCCGGTGTTTTTGTCATTCCAGATGCCACTATTGAGCAGCTGAGAAATAGTAAGCAGGTTCTTGGGGATGTACCATTGGATGAAAAGGATTTTAGTGAAAAGACTCTTTACTTTGCACAGTATTTGCCCCAAAATCGTCTTGAGGCCTACATGGAGGCGTTATGGCTAACTTTTAAGAATAAACAGACGCAAACGCTCGATCCGCTAACCCTTTTGTTATTTCTGTGTGCTGATGTTCAGCTGATACGCGGTGCCCAGAAGGCGATATGCGTTTCCGCGCAGATGCCTGGGGAAACACACAACTTAGCCGTTACCCAATCGGAGTTGGAGCGAATCTTCCATGTCCTCTCCACGAACCCACGAGAGCTTGGTCTTCACGATCCTTTTTCTGCTCGCAATATCGAACTTTTATTTGCCTCTCAGGCAGGTGCTCCAGAAGCTATCTCATTCCGCCAGATGTGCGAGTGTCTGATGGGGCGCATGATGCTGAATGGCTCTAGTGCCTTTCATTGTAAAAGCTTTATCGCCTAGAACTCCTTGCGTCATACCAAGAAAAGCTCCAGATTCTAAAACACGTCTTTAGAGTTTTCTTTAGAAGGGGAAGAAGTGTTGTCATGCAGGGTAAAAATATGTAAATAGAAGGCTCTTGGTAAAATTACGCTTACTTACTGTAAATAAGCTTCACAGTGCTAATAGTTTCCTATAGGAGCAAGGGGAACCCCACACCAACCCTTAACCGCTGTCTAATTCAACCAATCGTGACCTGTTGTTCACCTCGAGGGGGGGCCTGTGGTTCATATAGGATGAATTCGCCTCCCGTGTGGTGAACCTGTTCTTCCCACACCCTCTCTTCTTTTGGACCTTTGTGTAACAATCCCCTTTTCTTTTTATTATTAGCAGTAGTGGTAGTAGTAGTCGTCGTCGTAGTGTCTTCCCCCATTCTCCCCTGTAGTGCCCCATCCCCTTTCCCCCGTGGGCTGCGATTACCCCAAAGCACTGTTACACAACGCCCATGCTGTGGGTGGACCGGTACCGACCCAAGACCTTCGCGGAGATCGAGCTCCACCCGGAGCTAACGAGCGTCCTCGGCCGACTCGCCCAGTCGCGGGATCTCCCGCACCTGCTCTTCTACGGCCCGCCCGGGAGCGGGAAGAAGACGCGGGTGATGGCCGTCCTCAACGCGATCTACGGCCCGAAGGTCTACGCCCTTCGGCTCGAGCATAAGAGCGTCCAGGTCACCGACCACAAGGTCGTCGACCTCACCACCCTCAGCTCTCCCCACCATATCGACCTCAACCCGTCCGACGCAGGCAGCTACGACCGTGTGGTGGTCATGCAGATGATTCGGGAGATCGCGCAGACGGCGCCGATGGCAACACCGGGGAGCGGGACCGGCGTGGGGTATAAAGTGGTGGTCCTCAACGAAGTCGACGGACTCAGCCGCGGCGCCCAACACGCCCTCCGGCGAACGATGGAGCGCTACCTGAAGACCTGCCGGCTGATCCTCACCTGCACATCGACCTCGCGGCTGATCGCCCCGCTCCGCTCGCGCTGCCTCGCTCTGCGGGTCCCCGCACACTCGAGTGAGAACCTCGCGAAGGCGCTGAGTAAGGTCTGCCAGGCGGAGGGGCTCGCGACGCCCTCGGCGGCCTTTCTCCGCACCCTCTCCCTGCGCTCGGAGGGGAATTTACGCCGCGGCCTCCTCATGCTCGAGGCCGCGGTCGCTACCAAGGTAGACTTCGCCGGCGACGGCTCCGCCATCCCGCAGCCCGACTGGAAGCTTTATCTTGATGAAATCGCAGGCGATATCTTGGGCGAGCAGTCGCCTAAAAAGCTCCACGAGATACGACTTAAATTCTATGACCTCTTAGCGCAATGTATCTCGGGTGATACGATCTTGAAGACGCTGGTGAATAGTTTGTTCGCAACCATGGCGCCCAAACTCCACGGGCCGTTGATCGAGTTGGCGGCCAGGTATGATCACAACATGAAGCTGGGTACAAAGCCCATTCTACACTTGGAAGCATTTGTTGCTGGTGTGATGACGCTCCTTAAAGAAAATGCTTCTTTGCTGTAAAAGTAAAGAGCCATGTTCCTTTTTTTTTTATCACGAGGTTCCCTCTTGATTTCTTCATCTTCAATAAATGGCGTTCTTTGTCGAAAAGATATCTTATCATTTCAGAAGGTCTATCATAAAAAATAGAAAATGGAAAAAAAACTGAGACCGCATAAGGTAGGGAATAAAATCTGTGGTGCTATTCAGAACACAAGAAGTAGAGGTTCATTTGACTTGAAGAATTTGTATTAGCTTCCCCCATTTTATCTCAGCCCTCCGTTTTTTCTTTCCTTATCAGTATCGAATCCTATACAAGGAAAATTAAAACATCGATACTCGAAAGAAGTCCAAGCCATCTCAGGACATCCCATAAGGAAAAGGGTATTTTGCCATTGCCAGACTTTAGGTGATATCCCTCCACATTTTATATATAACAGTAGTTAGTTTTCCTTTTTTTAGAGAGTGAGAAAGAGGAATCTAGTTGGAATTTCATGTTATTTCGTTTAACACAAATATGCAAAGTGGCACATTGGTTTTGCGGTCACCAATATCGCCACCGACACATGCGCGATAAACGGTTCCACCCGTCGTACGAAGCTGCACACACCTCTCGCAATCGCTTTAGTAAAAGGAAGCACTTCAAAACTAACCGCTGGAATTACACCCAGGCTTATAAGGATATGCCGTAACCTCTGCTTTGAATACCAAAAAAAATAAACAATTTTGTTGTGGGTATATTGAGGTTAAACATTTCTGTTTTACAATTTTGTTATTATTTTTGGTGGTGTTCACAAAATGCCAGGTGGATTTGCTGGGACGTCTTCTGAATGCTGCCCTGGGGTGTGTCACTTTACTACGCACATCAGGGCTACTTCACAACAACAAATGGTTATATGATGACTCTTGACTCAAACGAGGCAAACGCCAACGCTGAGAGATTTCACTTTAGCCCGATGCACTTGTCTTCTCTTATTCTTTCTAGACGACTCTAGGAGCTCTTTAGCCGATCTATGGTAGACTTTAAGGATGAACTCGACGCGAGTCTGGAGTTTGGGTCTGGGTATATCTGCCTGATCGGGCCGCCCAGCAGCGGCAAGACGACGCAGCTGCTTGAGTACCTGACCTCGCGCGAGGAGGCGTTTGCAGAGTCCCTGCCTTGTTTTCGTCTGGAGTACGTGAGCGCACGCAGTCTTTGCGGGGATACGCTGGGGTATTTCTCGCGGCGGCTCCACCCGGGGCCCGCGCGGCGCGGCCTCGCCAGCGAATGCACCCCGCTCGACTTTGGCGGGCTGGTCGGGCGATGGCTGGCGGCCCGGCCGCGCGGCAGCGAACTCCACCTTGCCGTCGACGACGCTGACCTCCTGCGCG